GGGCTATTGTATTTTAGTTTCTTATTCACCATATTCGGTTAGCGATTGTTTAGATCAAACAAAGGCAACAAATTATAGTCAACCAATGTTTTTGTAGCCAGTAACATGAATGGGGGCGACATAATACTTATACATAAATATAAGTATTATGTCAAAGATTGGAAACAAATATTTCTGGAAATTCAATTGTAACCTTCCCCTCTTACGTTTTTATACGTATTGGCCGTTACGCGGTGTAATATAACATGTTACATAGGGAGTAATCATACAGTCAATAAGTATTGTTACGAGCAAACTATAAAGTAATGAGGCGTAACGTTACACCACGTAACGTTGTTCAAATTGCGCCCTTATAATTGGCAATGACTCCTATCTTATTCTATTCTTTAAAGTAATGCGTTTGTAATCGTAGTCCGCTTGTTACCTACCTATTTCCTATGCAATAACGAAAATTTCTCGGAAGCATTCTCTAAAAATAATTGTTTGCTCTAAAAAAGCTTCTAAAATTCTCATAACTTCTTAAATATAAGAACCTAATACACGACACTATTGATTTAAAAATTCAAAGCAAAGTAATTATTCATATGCGAAAACACATTTAAAACACAATAGTACTACAAGGCATTGTTACAATTACCCTTTCCTATTACGGAGCGCAAAGAAATTGTACGCAATTATAAAGGTGAAAGTAACTCTTTCCGTACTGAAACCATTACAGTGTTATTGTCAATACGTCTTTATATAGTCTGTTGTGACAATTGTTGTGTTAAGGAAGTGTGGCCAACATAACAACGTAACAACTTCCTATTAACAACAAAAAATATGTTCATAATGTCTAATCGTCTACAGTCCATTGAATCGAATCATCGTTGTGTTAAAACGATTATCAATCTTCAAATGTTACATTTATGTAATGTATGTTTCCATTGTCAAAACACTTGTGTAAAAACATGTTGTCTTCCTTTCAGGCCCTATAAAACAGGGGTAAATTGAAGCAGGAAACAAAATTATTTGATTTATATAGTTCTTACTAATTTCACTGTCTTATTTTTAATATGATAAATGCGAAAGTATAGATGGATGGATAGATGTTTGTTATTACGTATCTTTAGGAGGGCTCAAGGGATCTTGATGAATTTTGACACAGATGTCAACATAGTCTGGAAGAACACAACGGTATTAATAAAGTTTTTATTAATTCCGAGCGGACGGAATCGCGGGCGTCAGAGTAATTACAAATGATGTCAATCAGATCAAATCAGAGTGCTAAAAGTGATATTTCAAAAAATTAAAATGTTTACATTAAGATTTATCAAAAATCCATACAAAGGTCATCTATCTACAACATAATAAATGAGTTAATAAACTTAGTTCGTGCGAATGAATTACATTTTATATTCAAAGTGCAATCAAATAAAAAGTAATACCCGAAAAGTCAAGGCAACAATTTTGAAAGTCCTGCAAAAGTACTATCGATGCGTTGATGTTTCAAAATTCTTCTATCTTATGTTTAAAATATCTTAAACATTGAACAAATAAGTGAATGTCCTAGCCAAGAGAAGGTTTCAATCCAAGGTTGAAATATAAAAGAATACGGAAGATCGACGAGTTGACAACGGGTTTCAGTCTACGTGCCTTATTTATAAATAATCGTGGAATGTTCTTTGTATGGTGATCAGAGGATGTTCTTAAATAGAATATATACGATGTTGGAAAGACTGTTTAAAACTGGTTCATTGTACACATTACTTTTAAAGCAGAGTAGAGGTTATAAAAAATTGTACTAATATTTATACATACTCAGTTTATTCCTATGTTTAACTTTATACCGCGTTTATTTGTAAGGCTGTATGTTTTTAATTTTCATATACTTAACGGATGCAACAGCTGACGGTTGACCATTGACTGATGTATTTGAACGTCTGGTCAGGCAACAGTTTTAAAGAAGCCCTTTTTGTAAGCAAAACTTTAAAAAATTGCCATTATAAAACACTAGCTTTCGCCAGTGACTCCTTCCGCAGGGAAAAGAAAAACAAAAGTAAGTTTTATGTGTCATTTTTTTTTATAGCATAAGGTGGCAAACGAGCAAGTGGCGCGCCGCCAAAATGGCGAAGCGACCGCTGCCCATAGACATCCGCAATTACAGATGCGTTGCCTACCCTTATACGACGGAAGAGGAGACGCACATAAAGAGCATATTTCCCCTTTCTATGCATCTCCTCCACCGTCAAATCCACTTCCCCTTCCCTACCTCTCCTTATAAGAAAAGGGTGGTAAAGAGAAAGGGACTTAAATTAAGCCTCCGGCACCACACGCATCAGACGAAACACGGAATTGCTTCCATTTCACGCCTGTCTTCTGTGTGGTCGTGGTATTACAGCGGGCGTGCCGGCCCATTCGTGCTAAGATGTTAAAGCGGGCACTACCACTGTCATAGGCTAATGCATTCTTCCAGACTATCCTCTACAACTATACCAAATTTTATTGAGATCCGTTTTATTGTTTAGGCTACAAACTGTAAGAAACATCGATCCATCTATACTTTCGCATTATTAGTAAGATTATATTAAGTAGATGTTAAAGGAGTGTACTGGAATCTTGACAAATGGTCTTCATGATTCCTCTGGGATAACTTTGAACACCCACTGAGTTGCCGTATTAAAAATGTAGCATTGTATGGAAATGACAAGCCTCTTTTATTACGATCGTGGTAGAAACTCTGTGATCGCGTGTAGTCGCATTAACGAAGTTACACGCTTCAATAAATCGGCTATTATTAAACAAAACGTAACCAGTGATTGAACGGCTAACTAGACAACGGAATTGTGTTCATGTTCTCATTACTGAGTGTAAATGGATTATTAGTTTTTTAATAAGGGATTACTAATCTATGTGCAAAGATAACGGTATAAAATGTTCAAAAATTTTGTGTTTTTTTCTATTTTCTTACCCTTAGCTATTTATAATCTTTTCGACTACAATTTAAACAAAAATCTTATTCTCAATTATATATCTGGTTTCTTTTTAATGTAACATTGAGATATAGTGACTTGAATAGTAGAAAATTGTCATAAAGATCGCTTATTTTCAATTTGAATAGTTAAAATATTTAAAACTTGCTGTTACTTGCTACTTCGTCCACGTGAAATTTAAACATATAGCCTATGTTTATCAGCGATAACATAGCTTTCTAATAGTGAAAGAATTTTGATATCGGGCCAGTAATTTTTTAGTTATTTTAATACATACGAAAATACAAAAATGTAAATCTTTCATCTTTATAATATTAGTATAGAAAAGTACAGAATCTTTATAATAGATGTCATATTAAGTACATACACTCCAGTTAATCTCTAGTTAAACGTCGTTTAATGAATTTAAGTTACTTATGTTTGTTTTAAAATATCTTACTCATCTGTTACGGCGACTTATACTACATTTCTAAAATTCCTATTTACTTTATCGTTGTGATTAATTAGTCTTAGGTTTACATATGTTTCGACGGAGTAAAACTGAAGTTAAGTAGTTTAGTAACCAACAATATTAATGAATGGTTAAAAGTAGCTTGGAAACCGGCCATTAATTGTCAATTGAATTACAAATTGAATTTTATGACTGCTTTACTACCAGCCTAAGAACTACAGATATCGTCATTCAATTTTAATGACTGATTTAATATTCACACATAGTTGTTTTGTTGTAGTAAAATCACTTTCACAACACAACGATTTCTTGTTTGAACGTTTTGAATGCTTAGAAAACTGTTGCTTCCGACAACGTTGCATGAGAGATCACCGTAAAAGGTAGTGACAATTTTACTATAATTATCGCGTAAGATTAAGAAAAAAGCGGAACATCATTCTGTTTATAATTATACGTTGCTAGTTTCTCATCTGATTTTGTCACTCTTTGGAACATTGCTAATAACTAACATCTTCAACAAATATTTTGTCGAATACAGCGTTCGAAACTTACACTGCTCTAAATTATAAAATTCATATTTATTAATGTTAAATGTTTACAATCAAAAACAAGTGTATAGTATTGTTTTACTAATGTTATAAAGAGAAAAGATTTGTATTTTTAATTTTTTGTATGTATTTGATTCACGCAAAAACTACTGGGCCAATTTTAAAAATTCTTTCACCGTTAGAAAGGTAATTTATTTGGGAATAACATTTTCTATGTTTTGTATTATATTTTAATTTCACGCGGACGAAGTCGTGAGCAACAGCTAATATGTAATCTTAAAGATTAAATATACATAAGAATTGAATAAGAATTGGCAGCGGTCAAAAGGTACAAGGCAAATATACTATTTGATTACTAAACTTAGTTATTCCTATTTCACCAAATACCTTCTGGTATAAGGCTGTATCAATAACTTTACTGTTTCATTTCCTTTCTCTCTGACCCTTGGCAGTTAGCTCTCCCCTGGCGAGTCAAACCGCTTAATTGGATGTCATTTTATTGCTTTGTAAATTTCATATTTATTTTTAGTACCTTGCAGGCAATAACAAATTGCTATATTAAAGAGTTAAGTAAAGATAAAGGACTCTTTAATTATGATTTTCCTATTGAAGAGATTTGCAAGATATCCTACAACCAATAAGAAAGTATGTGTCGAATGGATTTATGTTAAAGAGAAATATGTCTGTTTCTTGCCAAATGGAAATTTGTAATCTCTGAATCATGTAGAAAGTTCTTACGGATAATGTTTAAAATAAACAACGTAACCTTTATATCAGATATTATTCTTGTAAATTAATTGAATTAAGTTCTATAAATTGTGACAAACAGGCTTCTTTGGTACATCATTTAAATTATTTTCACGCGCAATTTATATCGAACATTAAAAGTGAGAATTGTAATAACTGGCTACGTGCAGGCGCGAAGCACTTTCAAATACGTTTAACAATGACCTCTAAAATCACTGTATGTATAACGAGCTAGTTGACACGAAAACTTACTGAGACATAATAAAAAATAGTGCAAATTACCTTTGTCGCGCTCTGCATCTGTAGGAAAGTCGCGATGCCAGCTCGCACGCGGTTCTTGACGCCGCGTATCGTTCCCTTAGAGCTCCTAATAGTCGAAGTAGGCTCCTCACTCTTATAATCCTTCACTCCCGCAAAGTATTCCAGTTCAGATGTTTCCTCACTCACACTTTTATCAACACTAGCACTCTTGACCGGCACTTCATCGAACTGCTTCTCGTTAAGATGAAAATCGTAAAACTTATCCGTATCGAAGTAATGACTACTGTAGCAAATGCGTTCCTGCTTCATTTTCTCCTCTTTTTTTCTATCTTCGTACGTCGTCTCCTTGATCAAAGGCGTCTTATTTTCGAAATGGACAGGTGTTGACTCCGCACTGCTATTGTTCCTCGACTCGTTCAACTGTGAAACTAATCGGAACGACGTTAGCTGCGCACTTTCTTTCGATACATTAGCATTTTCATTAATATTCCGGCTCGCTTCCTCTTGCGTTTGGTCGCTCGAGTCACTTTCAGTTTCGACCGTATTCAGTTTCGCCGAATGGTCTCTAATATCTTGTAGCAAGCCTTGCGGTAGAAAGCTACCGTTTTTGTTGCTCGCTTTACTTATAAACGTCGGTAGAAGCGGCGCACTTGGCGGCTCGGGAGTTTGTTTCTTTTCTTTTTTGCTAGTATCGTCGCCGTGGCCTTCGTCGGCGTGCATGCTTCCATTAAACTCGCTGCTATTCAGCGAATCGCACGATATATTCGAATCATTGTCTTCGAAATCTAGTTCACTAATGTTTCTCGCGGAGCTTATCATTGTGACGGACACGGCTTTTTTAGACGACGATTTCAATGTCTTCTTTTTTGGGAGCGGCGGCGGCGTACCGTCTAGATCGCTGCATGTACCCGAATCTAGGGTATCGCTAGGAGAGCATTGACCGCTCGACATTATTGTATTGTTAGAATTAATGTATGAATTGCAATAAATATAGGGCGCCTTGTCCATCTTGGTTTGTTCTTCGCTATCTAAGATCTTCGGTCGATTGTCCTCGACATTTAATCTGACTAAACTGTTATTCTTCTTCGTGTCACTGATTTTGTACGTTTCAAAGTCGACATCGCTCTTGAGGTGCACGCTAGAAATCTTTGGCGCTTTCGGTTTGTCGGTGTCCGTGTTGATTCTGATCGTGACCACGTGTGGGCCGGCGCCGGAGAGAGCGTCTGAGCCGGCCGTGTTCGCGGGTCGCTCTGGTTGGGTCGCCGCTATGAATACCGTTGCCGATGGGGACTTAGAATTAAGGACAAGCGAGTGCATCGAACTCAACGAGTCCATGTTAGACCGGCCGTCGCTCGCACTGTACGCGTTCACTCTGAGAGGGGCATCTTCGCTCGTTATCTGCGTAAAAGTTGTCGATCCTCTCTGTTTCACTTTTTGGGGCAGAGAGGGGATGTATTCGAGACTGGGACGTGAAGTCACCTCTTCCATCATGTTTTGTCGATTAATAAATCCGCATAATTAGTTAACGGTGGTTCCGCTTACTATGCAAGGCTGGTCCGCCGCTTCAGATTGTGATTGATTTATAAGGCATAATGGTTCCGGTGACCGTTTGAGTCTGGGTCAACAGTCCGCTCTACGAGCACGTTCGCTTCTTCACGATGTTTACACCTGCAAATAGCATTTATAGATTAGATACTTTTAACGATTGGAATGTTATTTTGAACAACATTTCATTATGCAATGGAGGTTGTTATAAATTGATTTGATTCTTCAATAAATTTATATGTAAGAGAAAGATTATGGAATCTAAACTTCGCCGTTATCTTTATACACTAACCTAACTAATTTTCTCTGATAATTTAATTCCGAAAGGTGTATTAAGCTCTTTACCCAACAACTTACTATTTTCAATATTGAAATAAGGTAATTAGGTTGAAAACATATTTCAATGCATTCATACATAACATCAAGTTAGGCACGTAATAACTAAGTACATTGTTACGTAAGGTCAGTTTAAAACGACCTCATTCATGTTTTATCGTAAAATTTTAAACGCGTACGCACAAAGTGTGTGCAGAAGGTATCTATTGCTTAAACAACAGACTTGATTCGTTGAAAAATTGTGTAATTAGAAAAAAACTGTGTCAAATTCGTTTATTATTGAATTATTTGAAATATAGGTTATGAGTCAATGTTATGTTTGTTGGTTAGGAATCACGTACGAAAACGTGTTTATAAAATTCAAATCCAAGTATATTATTAAGTCTTGAGTCGTGTCTTAAGTTTAACTCTGTTAGACTTTTATCGTCAAAGATTAAAGATGTAATAAGATTGATTAATATAGCTTAGTGTATTTCACACTTAGCACTTCCATATTGTAAAAAAACAGTTATTTTTTTTTGTATTGTAAAAAAAACAGTTATTAAGAGTTAGTTAACTCTTCTAATATGAGCTATTATCAAAATACTTTTACTTTTTACTTTAGTATTATATAGATATAAACATAAGTGAAAGAGAAAGTGTTTTTGCTTAAAAGAACGGATTTTAATTTATTCAAATTGTTATGTATGTGATAAAACTTCGTACGTCGAATATATTAGTGTTTGAAGTATTCCTAGCTGAATTTTTCCATTACTAATGAAACCATATTTAGGTGCATTAAAAATGCATATTTGTGTATTTAAATTTATGCACAGTTTAATATCTAAATAATTTAATAATCATTTAATCTTACTTAATATTATCTATGTGAAAGTTTAGATGGATATTTGCTATGAAATATCTTCCGAATGGCTCAACGAATCTCGATGAAATTTATCACAGTTATCGAACATAGTCTGGAAGAACAGATAGGCTTCTTTTGTTTTTTTCGCTAAGCTAGTATGTAAATAATGACTATAAATAATTGCTCAAAGCGTCTGTTTATTATTGCAATTTACTCAAACACTATTACTAGTATATGACTGAGCCCTATGACAATCTTGTCGGTTGTAAAAATGGAAAATCTACAATGATTACAAAACTGATAAATATGAATCGATTGCCTTTTGATTCAATTCGATTACCAGTCAATCAATTTCTTCCGGACGTAACAATTGATGTTATGACCGCATTTGACCTGATTTAGCAATGTCCCCAATGTTGATAGCCCCGATTTTTGAACCGTGTAATATTATTATTTGCATTTCGATTATACAACAAATTATTGGTTAAATTTAACTTGGTCTAATTTAAAAAAAATATATAAATATAATGATTTGTTATTTATAGTTTTATAGTGTTTGTTCAATGGTTAGATAAAATTGATATTCATTGAATAAATTGTTATATATACACTAGCTTTCACCCGCAACTCCGTCTACGTGGAATTAAAAAAAAATAAAAGTGAGTAGCCTATGTGTTCTTCCTGACTATCCTCTACCGAAATTTCATTAAGATCCGTTCAGCCGTTTAGGCTACAAACTCTAACAAATATCCATCCATCAATCTAAACTTTCGCATTTATAACATTAGTAAGATGTAAGATTTGTCTACTAAAGAAACTTAGAAGAAAATATTAGAACTAACGGTTTCAAAAAACATGCTTCATGTCTACGTACTAATTTCTTATACATACAACTGTTAGTTATAACGCAAAAGTTATAATAAAACTAACTCTAACTGCAATGTTCATGTACATTTTGATGGCAAATTATAACACACGACATCGCAACATCGTTTAGTGTTTTTGTACTCTAATTTGTGTACCAAAATTGGTTTAATTTTCATATCTTCCATTCTATATTCATTTCGGCTGTTAATTCATCAACGAATCATTATGAAATATTGGCGCGCTAAAAAGACTATCACTTTCCCCTCTTAAGTGTCGAGACGAATTGATTTTCTAATAAATTCTTACGCGCAACAAAACGTTTTTTAACATCTTCTAGTTCGTGTAATTCACATAGCAATTTGCTGCAATGTACGAATAAAAAAGTTGTTTACGTTTTTTCAAACGATCTTAGATGTTATACGTATTATGTGTATTATAGCTTCATACAGATTTAGTGGATTCTGGAGCTTGATACCATGGTAACCATTTAACGACTATGAGTGACGGTAACTTATCAATTATTCTTCTATGAGTAATAAACAGAACCTCCACTGAATATTTGAGCTCTGTATTAGTTTTACTATTGTATTTTTACTGCAGTGTTAAAAATTTTTATCTCAAAGATTGCTCGCAACTTCGCCCGCGTGAATTTCAAAAATAATGTAAATATAGCCATGTTATTTACAGATAAAATACCTTTCTAACGGTGAAAGAATTTTTAAAATCGACCTAATACTTTTTGAGTTATTTCAATACATACGAAAATACAAATCTTTTCTCTTTATAATATTAAGTATAGATAAAAAGTGAAATGACGATATGTTTTTAAACAAATATTTTGACAATGTAAACACAGTCATGAGTGAAATGGATACAACATTGAACAATAGATCGAGGGCATTAACATGCAGATAGTATGTTAAACAGCAGCCAGCCCATTGATGTAAATAAGGCCGCGTTCACAAAGCGCGATAATTACTACACGTCACGAAATAGAAAATATTTCAACGTTAATACGCAAAAAGTATTAGTTAATTTACATACAAAATCTCTCAATGTGGTTATTTCATATATTTTTTTAGAGATTTTTTCTAAGAACACGATTTAAAGAAAAGTGTTGACGTAATCTCACTAATATTATAAATGCGAAAGTTTTGATGGATGGATGGATGTTTGTTAAGAGTTTGCAGCCTGAACGGCTGAAGGGATCCCGATGAAATTTGGCATAGATGTAGAGGATAGTCTGAAAGAACACATAAGTTACTTGCTTTTGTTTTTTTATTCCGTGCGGACGGAGTCGCGGGCGAAAGCAAGTGACGAATAACTGTTATTAACTCCCAAAACAAATGCATATCGTTTCTTATCTTTATTTTGGTCACCAAAGAAGATATAAAAAAGGATTAAGCAGTTGTAAACTTCCTTAATAATTAATTTATAGCTCTGTTAATCAAATAACTAAAACGAAGACCCATTTAAACCTTTTATGGACTGTAATAGGAACACTTTCACTGAAATAACTCCAGTACTTTGCCGTTTATTCGACACTATAAAAAGCAAGCGTGACAAAATGCCGCGTCTAATTGGCGACGATAAAATTTCTATAATAAAATCGAAGTTGGTATTTTGACCTTTTAAATATGTGAGACATCGAAATGTTATGGAGAAAATAATACAATCCCTGTGCAGTTATTCAAGGGTTAGTCATATTTATTAACCGAGGATTCTCAATATGTTAAAATAATATAAATAAAGAGGTTAATAAAACAAATAACTTTCAAGATAAATACATTTATGTCGTACTAGCTTTTGCCCGCGACTCCGTTCGCGTGGAATTAAAAAAAAAACAAAAGAAGGAAGCCTATGTGTTCTTCCAGACTATCCTCTATATCTATGGCAAATTTTATCAAGATCCGTTCAGCGGAATAGGCAACAAACTCTAGCAAACATCCATTTAAACATTCGCATTTATAATATAAGTAAAATGACTGTATTATGTATTTAGTAATATGTTTCAACATCTAAAGGAAGGAATCCTAGTAATAAAACAACTAATTGCTCGTTCGACATTGACATAGATCTTGTTGTGTCCGATTGTCAAGGCGTAACAACCTTGAAATTCCATACAAAATGTATACAATTACGTGACCAATATGCTGATTAAATGTAATAATTCTTTTTGTATATAAACTGACCAGTTTATTTAGAACCCTCATATTAAAATCGACCTCTAAATTACCAAGGAAACAATACAGTTCTAATATTATATTAACAAAAAAAATATTCTTACATGTAATAAATTTGGAGTGTCTGTTTGTAATATCAAAAGGAAAATTTCTTTGATATTACAGATTTCGGAAAGTTGATGTACTTGCGTTGCTGATAACGAAAATCGCATTTGAACTTTTTTGTCTATCTGTTTGTCCGCAAGCATCGTTTATTCCGGGCAATCTTCAAAACGGGTGGGCCGATTTCGACGGATCTTTTACTGAAGGGTAGCTGACAAAGACGGGCATGCTATAGGCTACTTTTTTATCTTAATATTGCGTGGATGAAGTCGCGGGCAACAGCTAATACTTACATATAATCGATACGGCCTTTCAAATTATGTTTGATACCGACATTTACCAAAAAGTCACGCAGTCAAGGCCGCGTATAGGATGTTCCTTTTTAATATCTACCGCTTCAGTGTGACTAATAAAATGTTTGAAATGAGATGATAAAATCGATTAAATACTTGTTTAAAATATATTTTTTAATCTTAAACAATAATATGAATATTCCCATATAATTCAATAATGTAAAATCCTACAAACTTTTTAAGAAAAGAAAATTGAAAAGGTGCTATTTTTGTATAAGCAACTAGCTGTTGCTCGCGATTTCACCAAATTAAAAAAAACATAGCCTATGTTAATCGCAAATAAAATACCTTTTTAACGCTGTAAGAATTTTTAAAATCGGCCCAGTACTTTTTGAGTAAATTACATACAAAAGTTCAAATCTTTTCTCTTTTTAATATTAGTGTAGAAAAATATCGATTTAAAAATGTCATATAATATTTACTTTTGTAATGTGATTT